TACTTACATATATTAAATGCAACAACTTTTCCACACTGTTACATTTTTTCACTACTAAAATCGCCCCAAACAAATAGCAAAACAAAATAACAGAGGGTTTCTTGAACAAATGACCAGTTGTAGGCCTGGGTATAAACATTGCCCAGGGATGGAAGGTGAGCCTGGAACGTTTTAGTAACAGACAGCAAGGAAACCTGGAAGCCACAAGGGCCTAGTAAGAGTCCTTGTGAGCCAGAAGTCCCAACAGAGTCAGAGCCAACTGACCAAATGTCAGATGATCTGAGCATTAATGAGTTCAATAAACTGTAATTGATTGAAACACATCAAATGTGGTAAATACTCATGAATTCACAATAATACAAAAGAAAACAAAATGTTTTATTTACCATTGCAGGTTGCTTTGCATCAACTCACTATTTAAAAAAGAAAAAACGAATGATTAAAGAGAACCAAGCTTTTATCTTCTTTTCTCTTTGATCTCCTTTGCCAATGGGTAAGCAAACATTATTTTGAGGAAGTTTTTTTTTTTTCAGTATTCCAGCTGGCAAGTTAGAAAATAACTGATAAAATTAGAGTATCACCATTCTGCAGCTTCAAATGATTTAATAGACATAGGCTTTGATTATTATCAGCTGCTAACAGCAATAAATGAGAGACAGCCAAACATCCTATGCTTCATTCATGGTGGAAGAAAGTGCACTACCTAAGAATTAGTTTTGATTTACACAATATGAGCCCAGCCGAGCCAGTTTGGCTCAGTGGACAGAGTGTTGGCCTGCAGACTCAAGGATCCCAGGTTCGATTCCGGTCAAGGTCATGTACCTTGGTTGCGGGCACATCCCCACTGGGGGGCATGCAGAAGGCAGCTGATCGATCTCTCTCATGGATGTTTCTAACTCTCTATCCCTCTCCCTTCTTCTCTGTAAAAAAATCAATAATATATATATTTTTAAAAAATATGAGCCCAATTCTAAGCCAGCCTTTAAATCCAACTATGAAGTTATAGAACATAACATACAGAAAAGATTAGGTGACACCAATGACTGAAACTAGCAAAACTAAGACTGTGGGAAACCTATAGGGGAAAAACCCACCTGGTGTCTCCAACAAATATATTGAAAGTAGAGGGAAGAGAAAGAAATCTATAGGGTTAAAACAAATAAAAGAAATATCAATCAATTATAATGCATAGACTTTACTTAAAGTCAAATTCAGAGCAAAAAAAAGTATAAGCTGCTTTAACATTTGTGAAACAATTAAAAATGTGAACACTAACTGAATATTTGATTATGTAAGAAAGCATTGTTAATTTTAGGTGAGGTAATGGTATATATATATAT